CAGTATACGGAATTTACACAAATTTTCCTGAAAATCACAAAATACCAAATTTGCACAAAATATATATATATATATATCAATATTTCATAACATTTATTCTACTGCACAGACAATTTTCGACTACACAGAAAAATCCAGTCGAAATAAAACCCAGTCGAATTAAAAATACCCGGACAAAAATTTTTAAAATATAGTCAAAACGTGCGCACTCGGTACGACAACAATATACAAAAAGTTACGCGGTAAAAACTGAACCAATCGAAAGATACGGACGAAAATCGCTAACGGAACAAAAATCCGGACAGAAAATACCGCCAAACACGACGGTTCTGAAAATTGAGAAAGGCGGAATGTGCCTTACCTTGCGTACAACAATTTCCTGAACAATCTTGTCGAACGAAAATGGCTCCGCGTCACCCGAAAATCAACTTTTCCAAAAATGCCCTCGACTTTCTCTCTCTTCAAAATCAGATATTTTATTTTTTTTGATTTTCTCTCTCTTCAAAACGACTGATTTCTGCTTTATAATACTCAGATCGGCCCGGCCGATCGCCAGATCGGCCCGGGCCGATCAGACCAATTTCGATCGTCCTGGACGGTTCCCAGAACTAGTTTCAGGCCGATATTTTGAACAGTGCCAATCGGCCTGGCCGAAGCCTTGATCTGCCTGGACGATGCATACAGAAAATCACCTGGAGCAAATCTGGGCAAATTCTGGAACAGATTCTCAACTGATCGTCCCAGGACGATCCCAGATCGTCCTGGACGATCCTGGAGCAGATTTTGATATTACAACCTCTTTGAATGAACGGGATCTAGAAGGAGGTTTTGATTCATCACCATCCAAGGTAAAAAATCCCTTGTTGTTATGCTGCACAGGCTCAGAAACTTTCCCCCAAGTCGAAGAGGGAACTTCAGCCATTCGGGAAAAGCCCAGAAAGGGCAAAGAAGTAGAAGGGGAACACCAGAACACAACGATCGCACGAAAACGAGGAAGAAAATGGAAGCCGAAGCGAAGAATCGGTCGCGCAGGGGAAACCCTAAATCGCCCGAGCGGCTCTAGGGCAGAGCACGAGCTTTGATCTGAAAACCGGAATTGATACATAGTGTTGTTTTACTATGGAGGCATGGTGTAACTTAATTTTTTTTTTCTAATTTTTTGTCCATATTAATTTTTTATCTTACAGCGTTTCAAAGTTAAACAATTATATCTAAAATAAATTTTTTGGATCTGTTTTAAACATCACCAATTAGAATAAAGAAAGCCATCCTAATGTTAAAGAGTAAGAAAATAAGAAATACTAAATTTATCTTTTGGGTTGTTTTCATCTATAACTTTGTTCCTATATATAAAAAATTCAAGATATGTAAACATAACACTTTCTTAAGCAAATACATGATAAATAATAATTATTAATTTCACATCCACTTCAATTACTTATCATATGTTTAGTATTTGTTATGTAAATACTAAAGCAAGTCAGGTTAGATCCCAAAAAAAGTAGAATAAATTCTATAAGTTCAAATTTAATTTTTTGAATATTTCCCAAATAAATATTAATACATACAAAAAACTATAATTTCTTATCAAATTAAATAATATGTTGATATATACAATAATGATGATTTATAGGCAAGTAATAAATTATATAAAATACAATAAAAATATAATTAATAACGAGAATATATAGTAGTGACTATTTATTTTTCTTCTAATTAATGCAGCTTATCTTGATTTGTTGATTGTGAGCTTTGGATACTAACTAGGAGGTTTTGGGTTCAGAACTTGTGTATGTGATGTATTGCAAGTTTATCTTAATTGACCTAAATGTCCCAAAAAAACTATAAAATGTTGCAATAAATACTAAATAATAAGTTCTTGTTGGGGATGTGGAAGAGTAAACAACACAAGAACAACACAACAAAAGACACATGCAATAAAAATAGAAGCAATGCAGTGGAAAGCAAAAGGGCTCTAGTATTTAACATGGGCAATGCAAAGGCATATGTTTCTCTTTTACACTATTTTCACACTCAAAACATAAGAGAAATTTAATTTAATAACACCAAGGGATGTCACCCTGGAGAAAAACGAGAAAGAAAATTGTTCAGTCCACCTCGGAGCGCTTTGGCATCAGTTTGGAGCGCTGTGGCGAACAACCCTTTGATCTCGATCTGTCTAACTATGCTGCAGTACAACACAATGCTACAGCGCACTGTTCTATGTCATTTCTGATCCCAAAAAATATTGCAGCACTGGGGCACCAGAGAACACAATGCATTCACTAATAATTTTGCTATCTTTAATGACAATGAATCATTCTAATACTTGTAATATGTTCCTTTATGCTGAATTTGCTCACAACGCATTCACAAAGCTAATTTAACATTACAGCTCTCTTAATTCTTCAGTTGAATATCAGTTGAGTCTTCATATATTGCGTACTCTTCTCTATACAAGCAATACTTCCTAGCAAGTTTACTTGCACATCATTATCATCATCATCGTTACTATTAAAATAATAAGTTATGATAACATATTTAACAAATTATTAGATAAAATTATATGTTTTTAAACCATCAAATAAATACAGAGTCACACATATGCCATAAGGGCTTATAGGGTCAGCTACAGCTACCTTGAATGTTTCATGGAGAGAGGAAACCCATTTTTCTCCTGCAAAAACATAAAAGAAGAACAAAACTGATGTCACGGTGAGATGGCTTCAATTTAGATAAGAAACGAAGTGTGAGGGAAATGGCTTATCAGTGAAGGTGGGCAAGTGTTGTCTGCAGCAAGCAATGCCAGCTAAAACAGCAAGAAAATGAGGAGTCATTAGTGGAAAAAATCTATAATTTTTTTTTAGAAATTTTATAATGTAAAAATTAATCAACCATTGGAATGTTTCCAATAGGTACATGTTAAATTTTAACTTTTTCATAAACATTTAGGTAAATTAAAATAAAAATAGTTTATGCAGAAAAAGTACTTGCAGACAGTTGTAGTATTATGAAAAAAAAGAGGAAATTATCAAATGTTTATAAAGATAAAATTGAAGCAGTATGAGAAACATATGCCGGTCATAAACATTAGATAAATATATGGCTCAACTTTTCTAGAAAATTCTAGAAAATTTTATTTTTAAAAAAGCTTATAGTAATTTGATTATTATTTTCTTAAACTAACTTGTTATCATTTATAAAATGATAATAACATAAGTAGGCTATTCAATGAATAAAGTATATTATATAATACTTTTAGTCAAAATACTGTAATCTCTAAAGTCACTAGTTGAACTTGATTGATCCTTGGTTTGCGGGCATATATGAAATAAAATTGCCTACAAATCTCTTTCTTTCTTCTTATTTGGGTCATTGAGGATAGTTTTAACGAGTAGCTGTTGGAGAAGAAGATATTAAATAAAAGTGTGGATGAGATATTTTTCTAATCCTTTCAATGAAGATTATATAATGTGATTGACTTTAGTGACTTTAGCATCATAAATGAAAATAAAAATTTGCTGGTGTTGACACATTGAAATCAAGTCCTCCAGAAAACCAGGTGATGAAGAAGGAAAACTATGTTGGTGTTACAACCACAACCATCTTTACATGCTGTGTTGGCTTTCTGGAGGACTTGATTTCAATGTGATTGACTTTAGTGATTATATAATGTGATTGACTTTAGTAATACAAATATTTCTCAAAATTAATTTGGATTCATGCCGAGTAGGTCTACTATGGAAGCTACACATATATATAATATATATATATATATATATATATAGTGCTAGTTATGATGGTTCTCATCACTGAGCATGCATGTATATATGAACAAAGTCTATGTAGAAAATCATTTATAATTTAAAAACCAACTTGTTGACCCCTACAACCAGCCCGAAAATCTTAAATTTGATAAAGAAGAATTCAATTTAAATATGGATTGCATTGGACTTTGCTATGCATTGATCGAGGAAACAAATCAAATGACGGACACCAAGCTCCTATTAATGGGGCTAATTTGTATAGAAATATTTCTTTCTTATCTATAGTGGGCCATGGTGGTGCATGAAAGACGACACTCTTGCAACATATTTATGAAGATGAAATAGCAGAGGAATTTGATCTTAAAATGTGGATTTTATGTTTCCAACAATTATAATGTAAACAAAAAAAAGGGTCATTGCAGCTATGTTGGAATCTCTTAAAAAGGAGAAGCCTCGTTTGGAGACACTTGAGGCATTTCAAGATAGTCTTTGGACTAAGATAATGTCCAAAAAAGTTCTTACTTGTGCTAGATGACATTTGGGAGGATGATGAAAAGTATGATAAAAGTAAATTGGAGGTCCTCGTCCCTTTGACTTATGGGAGTTTGGGAAGTAAAATTTTGGTAACAACTCGAACGGACTCAGTTGCACTGATATTTGTAAAGGTAATTAAAAAGGATGAAAGAATAATTAAACTAGTGGGCCTAAAAGAAGATCAGTGTTTGCAACTCCTTAACTCTCATGTATTTGCTGATGAGGAGAATCCTAATGATCATAAAAGATTAAGATCCATTACTGAAGAGATAAAAAAAAAAACTTTCTGGATCTCCATTTGCTGCAATGGTCATCAGTGGCGGCGAATTCCTAGGCGACTCAAATATGATATAAAGGCTCGCGTTACGACGAAAATGAGGCATTGACGATGATCAAACGATGTCCGATCGATGAACGGACAACGTTATTGCGTCCAGAACGTCGTCGACATTCAGAATATACATTTTATTTAATCAAATCGCATTGTTTGAGATAGTGTCGTAAATTTTGAAGACGATCCAAATGTGTTGCGAAGGCATGCATTACGAAGGAAATTAGCCTCGTCAGTGGCAAAATGACATCCGATTGCAACATGGATGGCGCCATTGCATCCCGAACGTCGTCGATATTAAGAATATATATTTAATTAAAAAAACATTGTTGGAGAAATAGTTAAAAATCTTTTGAGATCTCCATTGGCAACTAAAGTCATCAGTGGTGTTCTGAAGGATAACTTGGGTGAAAGGTATTGGAGGGCAATTCTAGAAATCAATTTATTGGGTCAGAATTATATTAATCCCATCTTAAGACTGAGCTATAAAGTTCCGCCAAATCATCTACAAAATTGTTTCGCATTTTTTTGTTGTTGTATGTTTCCACAAGATCATACATTCGATAAACATGATTTAGTCAGAATGTGGATGGCATTGGATTTTGTTTGGCCGTCTTAAGGAATGACTCAAAGGCATCAAAGGATTGGTTTGAGGCGGGGATAACCACCAAAGGTGAATGCTTGTTTGCTTGTTTAATTAAATTGGAGCTATTTTGTTGATCATAGTCGACAATTTAGATTTTATTCCCCTCGAGACGGAAACGATCTTTGGCCACTCAAATATTTCGTCGCTTAATTGTCTAGCTAATGAGACGGCGAGACTTGTGGCATTAAGATACTTGATGGTTACGGATTGCCTCAATCTAATCTAAAATAAAATTTCTTGAGCAAATGGAAACCACAAACAATTGCCACCTCATGCTTGGTGATATCATTTTGAGCAATCCTTCAAAGTTGATAACAGATAAATAATCATGACATGACAGGATTTTGCTTTTAATTAAAAAAAAAAAGAGGTCAAATGAGATATCAAAATCGCATTAAAACTCTTACCTCGTATCTCCTGAATTCGCGCTGGTTAATTCGCGTCTAAATCCCTCAAATCCCGCTGCAAATGGTCTTCTCAATCTCTCGCCTCAGACGTCGCCTTAGTCTCGAAAGATGATATTTCGTTTTTTAAAAAGAGATGAAGCTGGATCATATGCTGTTTTTCAATCCTTCACACCCCACCTACTCCGTCCGAACTCCACTTTTCGCAAGCTTCCCTGCAGCCCACAGCCCCTCCTTTCCAAAGCAGCTTGAGCGTTGCCAAGCAAATAATAACAGCAGCCTCTCACAGCCTGAACCTACTCTACCCGTCAACCTCACTCCCACTTCCCCTCTTCTTCACACGCCGACCTCACTTCGACAACTGATCTACACGGTTCGACCCTCTACTCAGCCGGACTAACTCTCGTGATCTCTCACCTCTGCTTTTCAGGTGCAGGTCTGTTCGAAGAAGCCACACAGCTTTCCTCACCTTAAACGAAACCTTCATTTTTAGAGGAAAAAGATTCCTTTAAAGCAGTGAAATAACTTTTTTTTTACTATTTTATTTTACGTGATCACAACAATTCTTCTGTCATTACCTTTCCGCTCTACCAGAGCAACTTTTGCTTTTAGTTACAGTAAGATTCTCTCTCCTTTTGAATATTAATCTCCATGGCTGTTGAATGGATGACAGCATGTTCTTTAATGCTTTTATTGAAATCAGAATAAGTTTGCATGAGATGGTTGACGTGTTGGAGAGTGTGCAAAAAAAAAAAAGAAGAAAAACACATGTCAAGAGCCAAGCATTTTAGTACAAAGGCAACAGTACTTTCACTCTTATTTCCACAGTTTTTTTTTTTTTTTTGACTAAGTGAAGTAGCTTATTATTGACTACACTTGCTCATGACCCACCTATATAACTTCAATCAAAATCATACGGCTCAAGTTTTAAAGAAGAGTTTCTTTTTTTTATCATGTCTGCATATATAAAAAAAAGAGAATCATTTCAACAAAAAAAAAAAAAAAAAGTTAGTTGTATTAGTCATCATGCATTGTCCTTTATGTTCACATCCAAATAATTCCTTCCAGAGCTATGAGATGCCATTAACTTCTCCAAAAAAAAAAAAAAAAAGAGCAAGCCAAAAAAAATATATGCTCTCTTGATTTTCGAACCTTTTCTCTCCCCCCTACCTTAGCATGCGTGTCGAGTCGGTGGTCTACATATACACACTTTTCTCTAGCGTGGTGGGAGGGGCAACCGGCGCGACACTCACGACAAGGTAGGCGAGAGTCCCTCGGTTCCAAATCCTATTCTCGGCGTTCGTGGCGCACTGAAAAATCGCCTATACAGGCTTTTCTCTAGCGTGGTGGGATGGAAACCCGGTGTGATGCCTATGATGAGACCGGGATATTCATAAGTACCCGCTTGCGGGGAAACAGCTGCTTTTCTTTCATAAGTACCTGCTCGCGGAGAAACAACCGCCTTTCTTTTGCAATAGGTACTGAAGACCCATACACGCCTTTCTCTGACGTGGTGGGGGGTGACGATTACACGGCCGCGGTGTCCTCATATGAGGGAACCTATCGTACACGCTTTTCTCTAACGTGGCGGGAGGCCCAGTTTTCCGTAGTTTTCCCCTAAACGGGGGAGACGCCGGGAGGCTGCCGAAATTTCCATTGAAACCGAGGACTTGGAAAAATTTTGGAGAGCTTGAACTTGCAATCTTTTGGACAACATGGAACTCATTTTGACACTCAAATGAACTTGCACTTGGACTTAAACAAAATGCAAAATGACATAAATTTAATGATTAATTTGAACTTGAATTCAACTCAAACATTTAGACTTGCATTTGGACATAAGATGATTAACAAAATACTTGAATATAAATGAAATAAGTTCAGACATGAACTTGATTGAATAAAAGAAATTATATGAATTTGTTATTTGGACCACAAAGAACCTACTCAAGCAGAACTTGACATTGAACTCAAACTTGAACATAATCTTAAACTCAAAATTGAACTCATTTTGGACTTGAATTGAACATGAATTCAAGCTCGGCTATAGGGGGGGCTTGAACTCAATCGGCGCTCAAATAATTTGAAACTTGAGCTTGGACTAAATGAGGGGGATTATTCAAATTGAAACATATGAAGAATGACATAATGCTCCAAATGAAATTATCATTTGTAAGATAACAAATTCCAAATCAAATGCAAGGGAAGATACAAGAGACTTGTGAACCAAGTGATTATAAGTTCACCCACTTACACACAAGCAAGAGAGGGGCAAAGTGAGCAAAACACATGAAGAACAAGATAAGTATGAATACATGCAAGCAATGCCAAAAGATCTGCAATACATAAAATCTTTCTATGAATACGGATGTATGTATAACATGCCACTTATGGGTAGATGTAGAAAGACTTTAGTGAATGCAGTATCCTGAAGTCAATTTCAATATGTAAATAAATACATCTACCTACCTAAATGCACCAGTGGCTAATGTACTGAAAAGATCAAAGACTATCATAAAATATATGAAGAATACGACAAGTGCAAGCTCCTACGACCTAAGGCAGGAGATTAGTTAGTGCACTACGATCCACCTGCAGAAAGCAACGAGTAGTGCACGACAGTCAACCTATACGAAGCAGCGAACAACTCTATTCAGAAGCTGCTACGCCACACCACCGGATCTGCAACATTCGTACAAGCAGACAAAAGGCATCTACGAATACTTTCAAAGTACCCCCGCATAAGTTGTGACGCCCCAGAATCAAATAGTGAAAGGATTCGTCTGACATTCTGATCGAACTCCATTCCAGTTGCCTTGCTCGGACCTGAAAATTTAAACCACATATAATGAGCTTACAAAGCCCAGCAGGTCACCAAAGCCTACAACTGAAATCAAAGCACGGCGATGCTATCAATATGCAGGTCAAAGTAAATCAAGTCAATCAATGGTCAGGATTCTATGCAATGCGGAAATCCAGAGTCAATGAAATCAAGTCTGCACAGCAGAAATCAAATCAGTAGTCAATGCAGTAC